AGATGAGGAAACATTTATTCCAAGTTATGTAACTTATCTAAGCTATTAAAAATGGAAGAACTGGATTAAATGATCCTCCAAGTCTCTTCTGACTCTAAATGCCTATAAGTCTAAGGATTCAATCAGTCACATTACTTAGGGGATAGACAAAGCAGTGAGGCAGTACATAACCTGAAATTCTGTAATTCTCAGGCTCTTTAAGGTAGCATTATTATTTAACATTTATACTGTAATGAAATATTACTAATGCCATCAGAAATTATGAAATAAGCCAAACCAGGAAAACAATAAACAATTATTACAACAATGAAAATTTTTAAAAAAAGCATGAAACTGAAATTTTATAATTATAATGACTAAGACGCTTGGCCCTGGAGAAGAGTTTAGAAAATGTATCTCCCTCACTTCCTTCCTGAGGTGGGAGACTATGGGTTGCATACATTGTATATATATGGGTTGCATATTGCATATGTTGTCAGACTTGGTTGGTATCTTTGTTAGCTTTTCCTGAACTGCTTTCTTTCTTTCTTTTTCTTATCTTTATTAAAAGGGATGTCTCACTAGATAGGAAAGGAGGAGAAATATATATTTGGAAGAGATGGTGTTGTAAAAAAACAAAATACCCATAATAATATAATTCAGTTTAGAGGACCTTGAAGGCCAGTCTCTAAATTATTGACTTTTTTAGCCAATGAGGAGCCATTGAAAGTCTTGAACAAGGGAGTGAGGCCATCAGAGTCTCATATTAGGCAGATTAATCTAGCAGTGGTATCTGAGACAGGTTGGAAGGGGCAGGGGCTAGAGAAAGCTATTATAATAGTCCAGGTGAGAGGTAGAGAGAGTCTGAACTAGGATGGTAGCTATATGGACAGGGGAGGGGGGAGATTGATCAATAAAACTTGGTAAATGACTGAATGTGGAAATAAAAGGAAGAAGCATCAGAAATTACTCTGCAGTGTTAACCTTGGGTATCTGGGAGGATGGCACCACAAAGAAAACTAGGGTAAATGAAAAAAAGAAACAGGGTTATTTTTCAGTGATAGAGGACAGGGGAATTATGGAGGGAATATAATGAGTTTAGTTTTGGACATATTGAGTTTAAAGTGCTCACAGGACAGGTAGGTGTAGGTGTCCAATTAGGCAGCTGGAATCATACCAGTCCACAGACATTTCACTAACCACATTCCTAACAGGACAAATTTTACTCCTGGGCAAACTTATTAGCTAAGGATTACCTCCTCTTCTTTCTCCCTCCTGAAATCCTAAGTACATTCCCAGTGAAAAACATCATCATGCTCTTTATTCTCTCTGTACCTTCCAGTTAATGCCACCATGGACATAACCAGATATGTTAGAAAAAAAATTTCAGAGGTACTTGGCTCTATTATTATTGGTAAAGCAATGTGGTGTCTTGGAATCAGAAGACTTAGGCTTGGGTTGAAGTTCCATCACTTTTGAGTAAATCATTTATTACCTCTGGGCCTCAGTCTTCTCATCTGTATAATAATATTTGTATCACATACTTCATAGGGCTGTTGTGGGGAAAGCACTTTGTAAACTCTAAAGCACTGTGGGAATGTGAGCCCTTATTCTTTTACAAGCAGTAATAGATAGATGCTTATGTCTGTGCTTCATACTAAAAATAGTGAAGCAGTTACCTGGTGAGAACAGACTGACCATCCTTCCACATGCAGACTCATGACATCTCCTGGTGAAGTTGGTGATTTTCCATAGGTAGACACCATCATAGGAAGCCTCCTCCAGGAGATGGAGGCTCTGCTCCAACTTGGTCAGGGCAAGGTCTTTCTGGGCCAAGGTCTGTTGCAAATCCATGACCTGGAACATAGGGACCCCATCCCAGATCAACCTCTGCAACTCTAGGGGTGTCCTAATATTATCTATCATCTGGTGAGCCCCATGGTTTCTTGGGAGCATTGTAGAAGAAGTCAGCAACACTGTGGTGGAAAAAAATACTGTACCTGGAAGTTAAAATAGCTAGGTTCAAGTCTCGGCTCTCACCAGTCATGTGACCATGGACAGGTTTTAATTAACTTTCTGAGCCCCAGTGGCCTCATGTGAAAAATAGGGGGAATAATACCTGTGGGACTGTTATGAAAAAAGAGCTGTGTAGTAAATTGTAAAGTACCAAGGAAATGTGAGTTATCAGAAGTAGAACGGAAAAAGTACTGATTCTGACATAGGTTCAGTCTTATCTCTGCTGCTTTCTAGCTGTGTGACCCTAGGCAAGTCATTTCCCTACTGTGAGACTCATTGTCCTCATCCACAAAATGGGGATAATATCTTCACTACACCCCTTGAAATAATCCTGTGAGGAAAATGCTCTGTGAGTCTTCAATCATCACAGATGCATATGCTGTTATTGTTATTATTCTGACACATCCAGAGTCTAATTTGTAGCATATTAGGAGCACACATTTCTATAGCACTTGAAGGTTTGAAAAGTGCTTTCTTTCCAACTACTCCAAGAGTTGTATCGTTCCAGTTGTTAGCTATTATATAACTTTTTGAGAGTCTAGACCTTTGATTTCATTGGTGCAGGAAATAAGTAAAGAAATTCCCTCTATCAATTCAGAGAGGCAGTTTGTCTGCAACAGGTTTTAGGGAATTACCTGGGGCATGGAGAGATGAAGTGACTTACTCAGGGTCACACAGCCAGTATATGTCAGAGGCTGGATTTGAACCCAGGTTTTCCTGACTGAGGCTGGCTCTTTATCCCTTATGCCTCAATTATACAAATATCATAACACATATTATGATAATTCACATTGACACAACACTTTCAGGTTTACAGATTGCTTTCCTCACAAAAACCCTGCAAGGTGGGTAGTGAAAGTATTATTATGCCCATTTTACAGATGAAGAAACTGATTTGTCCAAAGTTATATAATTAGTGTTTGATTTGAACCCAGCTTTTTCCAGACTCCAAGTCCAGGACTTTTGCCTCTCAGTATTCCACCAACATTCAACAGCTATTTTATAAGCACTGCATGTGTTCAGGGTGCTATGCTATGGACTGGGGGAGATACAAGGTTTAGATAAAATACACTTCTTTCCTCATGGAGCTTATAGTCTAATGGAAGTTAAAGCATAACTATTATATGTGAGATTACATGATAAATGCTTCAGAAATGTCCAAAAGAAAGTACTATGTAAAGTAAGGGTTAGGGAGAGGGAGGGGAAAGGGTTGCCAACTGAGAGGATAAGAGAAGACTTATCATATGTAATTCAAGTAATATATCATATCATATGAGGATTTTATAGCTGGAATGAACCTTAGGGGTCATTTGGTTCTATCCCCTCATTTTACAGATGAGGAAACTAAGGTCCAAAAGGGTTAGGTAATTTATGCAAAGTAAGTCAGGATTTTAACCCAGATCACCTGACTCCAAATCCAGCATTCTTTTCCACTGCTACACTTAGTAATATGCAAATAATATAATATATAACACAGACTAATATACAATAGCATACACTATATAAACATATGTATGTTTACATACACACAGGTGTGTGCATGTGTATACACACGTGTAGAATTGTTACTTCTGTCCTTATCTTATCTCTCCCACCAGATTATAAGCCCAGGTCTCCCTTATCTCTGTGTCTCCCCCAATAGTTGGCACAAGACCTTATCGACACCTAACAAATATTTTTGTGCATAGAACAAATGAATCTGGCCTGCTCTAGCGTGTCTCTGGTTGACCCAGACTGTAGGGCTGGAGCCCCCGTGGCATCTCACCCTCTGCTCTAAGCCCAGGATGAGGTCCTGGGTCAGTCCACTCTGGTGTACAGAGGCAGCAATGGCCAGGTGGGAGGCCTCCACCTCCTTGTTCAGGACAGTCACAATATTCTCAAACACATGCAGCTTCTCTTCCAGCTCAGCAAGCAGCTTCTCCTTCATGAACCTCTGAAGGGCCAGCTCCTCCTCAGAGTCAGAGGACGCAGCATGGAAGCAGTCAGCCTCCAAGTCGCCATTGACCTCCACAGCTCCTTGTAATTGTAGGTCAGACAGGTTCCCCTCCAGGGGATTCATACTTGGCTTGGTGCAACTGAGGCCTGATATCCTTTTCTCTCTGTTGGGATCTGACTGGGCCTTCACTTGGCTCACAAGCTGTAACAGCAGCCTTAGATGGTCCCTCAGTGAGGAAGCCTCATGCTCCTTCACCGTTTCCTGGCTACCCTGCTGAGAGAGGGGAGGAAGGCGGTCAGGGTGAGAGGGTAGAGAAAGCTGACAGACAACTCACATCTGGGGAGATCCCCAGAGAAACAGCTTGCTGCTTTATCCCTAAGGGCAGAGGTGGCTCAGTAACTTGGGTATACTCCCAAAGTTACAAAGGGAAGGGGCTTTGATTGAAATGAGGGGGTCATCAAACATGCAGAAGAATGTCTGAATGAAGGAAGAGTGAGATACTCTGATGCTATATTTTAGGAATGTTAAATATCGCATCAGAAATAAATAGACCAAAGGTTTTCAATATCTAAAAAATCTTTAAAAGACTACTGAAAATGAGAGAAATTAGAACAAAGCAGTGATGTCATGTGGGATCTTTTAGATAACAAAGCAGTGGTGGAATCTTATATAAACTCAACATTTGAAATATTCTCTATCACCTGAGTTTAGTCTTGGGCACCACATTTTAAGGGCCTTGATAAAGTGGAATGCCTCCGGAGGAGGGTCACAGCTGCAAAAGATCTGAAAGAGTAATAGTCAAGTGCCCAATTTACCGATAAGGAAACTGAGGTCCAGAGAAGTTAAATGACATTAGCAAAGGTCACACAGGTAGCAGAGCTGGAGTATGACCCCAGGTACTCTGATTCCAATGACTAAATAACAACAACAAAACCCTGACTCCAAATCTAGTACTGGAAACATTAAGGGACTTGTAACTATGCCATAAAGGCCATTTGAATGAATCAGGGATGTTCAGCCTGCTGACAAAAGGCCTTGACATGAGCACTGCTTTCAAATATCCAAAGTGCTGTCTCCCAGAAGAGAGATTTGATCATGATATTCTGTGATATGTTTGGGAAATCCCACCCAAAAATTTGGGAGACAGTAGGCCAATTATGACTTCAAAGAAAGAGTTTATGGAACTACTTCAAAAGGAGAAAGAAATGGAAGGACAAAATATGGTCATTTTGATCTTGTGGTCAATGGGGAAACATTAAAAAAGGTACTTCATCAATGAAGGAGCATCATCAAAGCTGTACTTTCAGATCAATCTAGTGGCATGTGAAAGAAGGGTGGGAGGAAGAGGTGGGGAGAAAGGGATTGGGCTTGGGGGTCAGCGCTATTTGTTCAGCCTATCTGTTCTTATGTTGGGACCCAAGTTCAAAAATGATGCCTACCTTGAACGAACAGCCAATGTCTGCAAAGGAGCACCTACCCTGGACCTCAGTTGGCACCAAATCATCCTGGAAAAAACAAAGTTCCATCCCTTGGGTAATTTTCTTACAAATCCTCCCTAGTCTGTGGCAACCACCAGAAAGAACTACTATTTCTGCATTTTTGGAAATTCTAGGCACCCTCACAGCACAGGCCGAATCATTGCGAAACTCTCCATCCAGAAATGGTTACAGAAAGCTGGAGACAGCTCTCCAAAGTCTAAGTGAGCAAGTGTTCCTTGGCTGTCCAGCCGTAGGCTGGGCACTGTGAAGGATCCAAGCAAGAGAAGAAGGCACCTCAATGGTCTTACCTACCTTCTCTTCTGTACTGATCTCGGTCATGGTCTGCTTGTGTTCCTTCAAGAAGATTCCTCCACATACATGTGTCTGTTCATAGGTGAAAAGGAGACTGTAATGAGACCATTTCACTAGAGGGTCAGTGGAAAAGAAAATTGGTGAAAATTAGGAACAAGGATTCCTTTTCTCTATCCCCCTCCCCCATCATCTTTAGTTTATTTATTGCAGTTGCTAATAATGAGTTTATAACCAAGAGTCAGACATCATAGAAAATGACTTAAGGTCTCATCTAGTCAGTGGATAAAGCACTAAATGTGGAATCAGAAAGACTCTTCTTCTTGACTTCAAATCTGGCCTCAGACACTTACTGGCTGTTTGACCCTGGACAAGTCACTTCACCCTGTTTGCCTCAGTTTCCTCATCTATAAAATGAGCTGGAGAAGGAAATGGCAAATCACTCCAGTATCTTTGCCAAGAAAACCCCATATGGTGTCACGAAGAGTCAGATAGGACTGAAATGACTGAATACCACCAATAATCATCTAGTACAATTCCCTTTTTATACATGAGGAAATGGAGGCCCAATGATGGAAAGGGACTTGTTGAAGGCTCAGAGATCTTCTTCTTCTTTTTTTTTTTAAGGCAATTGGGGTTAAATGACTTGCCCAGGGTCACACAGCTAGTAAGTTACAAGTGTTTGGTCTGAGGTCATATTTGAACTTAGGTCCTCCTGACTTCAGGGCCGGTGCTCTATCCATTGCGCTACCTAGCTGCCCCTCAGAGATCTTCTTACAGGCATCTAGGTGACAAAATGGACTTGGAGTCATGAAGACCTGAGTTCAAATCCTGCCTGGCTGTGTGGCCTTGGGCAAATCACTTCACAGCTATCTGCCTCAGTTTCCCCATCTGTAAATTAGGTAAAATAATACATTACAGGGTTGTCACATGGATCAGATGAGATAATGTTTTGTAAAGGGAAAAACCTTAAAGTTTCATATAAATGCTAGCTATAATTAGTAAATAGACAAGCTGAGATTCCATCTCAGGTCTTTTTCTGACTTCACATTCAGCGCTCTTTGAAGCACTAATGTCTGGATGCTCAAGGCTCTGGCTTCTCCAGCAAGTTCTGATCTAGTGGATGGAGCAAGCCTGACTCTGCCACTTGCTGGCTGTGCAGCCTTGGGCAAGTTACAGTTACCTCCCTAGGTCTCATCTATAAAATGATAACAATCTCTGCCCTACCTATCTCACAGGCCTGCTGTGAAAATCAAATAAGAGATACTTGTAAAAGTGCTTCCAAAACCGATGGGAACTCTAGAGATGTTGAGTCCCTTTATCATCTGGCCCCCATCTATCTGCTGAAATTCACCTCCCATGATGCCCCACCTCAACCTCTTATCCTCTCCTCTCAGTTCATCCAAGCCCTAATTATTCTCCGGGGCCCAGCTCCAATGCCACTCTCTCTGTGTAGTTTTCTCTGACCAGCCGTGCCCCCACTGAGCTCTCTCTCCTTTGAACCCCTATGGTGCTTACTATGTCACTCACTGAGTAATAGATTATACCCTGTCTCTCTGGTATTGTTTCACTTTCCATGTGCCTGTCTTGTCTCCCTGACTAGTCTGTAAGCTCCTAGAAGGGAGGGGCTGTGATTTTCACATCTCTTCTATATCCCCCATAATGCCCAACACATGGTTGTACCCATAGTGGGCCCTCTGTAAATATTTGTGGACAATGAGCCTCTGGGGCAGATTGAAAACAAAAATTTAAATGGAAGGGGTGGAGAGGAAAGAGAAGGAACCAAATATTTTATAGGCTTTTAATTTGAACTAATCTGTAGCAACACTGTTAGCTCTCCTTCAAAAGTGGAATAAAGAAAAAGCTCTGTGGACAATTAAGCAAAGTGGGTAAGGATGTGGAAGCCAGCCCAGCCTAACTCACAGGAAACCGTGTTTGGGTGCCTCCCCGCAGGTTCGGCTCCCCCTTCCAGGGACATGCTGTTCCCAGCGCAGGAGCCCAAAACAGCAGGGAGCTCAAAACAGCTGTTCGACCCGGGGGCCAGAGAAGGAGGGCAGTCGGAGGGGGGCGGGGTTTGAGCCAAAGCAGGAAGTCTGCTATGCCTCAGCCAATCCTGGCAGGTAGTGGAGACAGATGTAGGTAGGCTAATCCAGATAGTACCCTCCTTCATAGGCGATGCCTGCAACGTGAACAGCACAAATGTGTTTTTGCCCCCAAAGCACTGCACAAAATTCTGAAGGCACCTTTTGTGCCCTCCAAAAATCATTGGCATTGCTTCAGGTGAAGTGCCTGAAACCCATCTCTACTGAGCATCTTGAAAGAGCTGCTGGAATCACAGCAGGAGAGCTTGATTCATATTCAGAGGGCCAGAGTAATTCAAGTTTAGATTGAGTCTAGAGCGAGTGACAGAGAATAATATGAGATAAGGCTGGAAAGGAAGATTGGCACCAGACTGGGTAGGGCATTGCAAGCCAGAAGATGAGTTTAAGTTTGATTTGGTAGGCAACAGAATCATAGAATTGCAGAAGTGAAGTTGGAAAGGAGGTCAGAGACTATCTAATCCAATACCTTCATTTTACATGTCATTTTACAAATGACTTGCTCAAGGTCAGGTGGGTTGGAAGTGTCAGAGGCAGGATATGAACCCAGGGCCTTTAACTCCAGCACCATTCCTCTTTACCTTTTGTACCAAAGGCCTCCAGAAACAATAATGGCTCACGTTTTGGAAAGTATCTGCCAGATGTGAGGCAGTGTGTTGTATTGGAAAGAGGACAGTCAGGAGACTTGATTTCTAGTACTTGTTCTGCCACTAGTTACGTGTGATCTTGGGCAAAGGCGCTTTATCTTCCTGTAGAGGTGGCAGATTTGATATTATTGACTCTGGAGTGAGAGAAACTGGGTTCAAATCCCACCTCTGACATTAACTATCTCTGTGACTTTGGGCAAGTGTCTTCACTTCCAGGCATCACTTTCCTCATCTCTAAAATGAAGGATTGGCCTCTTAATCTAAGATTTCAATCTATGATCCTATGACCTTTCCGGGCCAAGTCACTTCCTCTATAAAATAAGAGGGCTTAACTAGACAACCTTTAAGATGCCTTCTAGCCCTAGACCTTCAGATCATTAGTCTCAGACAAGAGAAGGGGAGGAAACACTGAAATATTTGTTCCTTTATATCCTGAATATATTTGGAGTGTTTGGGTCAAAATTCTGGGGGGAAAGAGTGAGCCAAATGTGTCTTTTAAAAAAAAAGTTTATGGAATCATTAAAAAAGAGAGAGAGAAGGGAAAGAGGAAGGACAGAGAATGATTTTTATCCTCTGAGTAATGGGAAACCACTAAAGGTTCTTCAGTATGGAAGTGACGTGCTTTAGGAAGATCAATCTGGTGGCCTTCTTTGGAGAATAACTTCTCTTTTGATTCAAACCATTATATAAGGGGCTTAATTAAACCAAACCCTAGAAATTCTAGCTTTTAACTAGAACAAAATACTCCCTGTGGGCCCCATCTTCTCTCCCTTGTCCCATGGCTCTTCCTGTGGCTGTGCTCTCTGGAGCACCACTCATTTCATCTTCAGTTACCTGTGAGTATTGGCCCTCTTGTAAGCCACCTGGAGTACGTGCAGGGGAAATGTCCTCCTTGGGGACTGTGCTTATGGCACACTAGTTCAAAGTACAAAAGAGCTTGATTTCTACGCGAGAAGGCTCAGCCTCTTACCTTTTCAAACAGGAAACCACAGTTACCAATAAATAGAAAATAAAATGTAATAGGTGGCAACATCAGACAGAGGGACTGGGGACTAGTAGAAGAGCTAGGTATTTTAAAAAGGGTAGAGGATTATCATCACTCCCCTCATTTGGAGTATGAACAAAATAACAAAATAACAAAAGCTGGGAGAAACCTTAAAAAGTAGAATTCAAAACTGGAGGGGCCTTAAAAATATTCTAGTCCCTAATGCTTTTTTCACAAATGAGGAAACTGAGGCACAGAGAGGGATTAATTTGCTCTAAGTCACACAACTAGCTAGTGTCAGAACCAGGACCAGAATCTATTAAGTACATAATCACCCAGGTTGGTAACCATGGTATCGGCCTCGATCCCTCAGTTTCACTGACCTCAAAAATCTAAACAGTTGCTACATTTTGTCTTTTCCAGCTTCACAACATTTCCCACATATGGTCCCTTCTTTCCATTCATGCAGCCACCAGCCTACCTGGATTGTGGAAGGAGCCTCCTAATTCATCTCTCTGTCTCCATTTTTCCCCACCCCAATTCATTTCCACAGCCAGAAAAGTGAATCTCCTAAACTGCAGGCCTGATTATATCACTTTATAGTAACTAATAATAACTAGCATGTATATAGCATGCTAAACTTTACAAAGCACTTTACAAATATCTTGTTGATCCTCATAACCACCCAGGGAGGTAGGTGTTATTATGCCCATTTTACAGCTGAGGAAAGTGAAGCAGATAGGGGTTAAATGACTTGCTCAGGGTCACACAGCTTTAGACTCAGGACCTGTCCTTTTGACTCGAGGTCTGCCACCACTCTACTACCACTAAAGCACCTAGATGCCTCAATAAACTCCAGTGGCTCCCTATTACCTCCAGGATCAAATACAAACTCCTTTGTTTTGCATTTCAAACTCCTCACTACCTGGCTACTACCTTTCCAGATTTGTTAAACATAATAATCTGTCTTTCTTGCTTTTCTTCACACAAGACACTCCATCTACCCTCTCTGGGACTTTGCACTGGTTGTCTTCCATGCCTGCAAAGGTCTCCTTCTTCCTTCCACTTTTTGGAATTTACAATTTCCTTCAACACTTAGCTTAAGCACCCCCTTTTGCAAGAGCTATGCCTTCCTGTCCAAGGTTTCTGTTTGGTATATAGAGCTATACATGGCAGCTGGGTGACGCAGTAGATAGAACTCCGGGCCAGGAGTCAGAAAGACCTGAGTTCAGATCTAGCCTTAGACACTTACTAGCTGTGTGACCCTGGGTGAGTCACTTAACCCTGCTTACCTCAGTTTCCTGATCTGCAAAATGAGCTTGAGAAGGAAATGGCAAACCACTCCAGTATCTTTGCCAAGAAAACCCCAAATGGGTTTACAGGGAGTCAGACGTGAGTGAAATGATTAAACAACAACAAGTATATGGGCCTGCTGTCCTTCCTGATAGAATATAACCTCCTTAAGGCCAGACACAACTTCATATTTGTCTTTGTATCCCTAGCACAGTACCTGACATCTGAGTAGGTGCTTTCAGAATGATTGCTGATTGATAAATAATTCTAATTGATAGATAATTCAGTCTAGTGCTCTTATCTATATGGTATGATTTGAGGACTTCCAGGAAGGCCTGCCTATTGCCAAGTATTCCTACTGTATCCTGGCATGTTAATGTTAACACTGGCTTAAATTTTACTGTTAGAATGTCATTCCTGGAGATTAAGGAAGAACTTGCTAATAATTAGACCTGTACACAAGCAAATAGGATGATTTGTGAGGTAGAGAGCTCTGTGTCCCTGGAAAGGGTCGAAGAGAGGTTGACTGTGTGTTGGTGAGGGATGTTGTAAGGAGGAGTTATGCACTGGGACAGGATTGGAATAGGGGATGTCAATCTCTGAATAGGTTGTGGATGAGTGTTGGGAAAGGGAGTGATTCCAAGTAGAGAAAACAATCCTACAGGATCCATGGCTGTACCCAAGTGAACTTTCCCCAAACTCTTCACGTTAGATAGCTCAATGTGTGGATTCATCTACTCTGAGCAGAAAAGAAGCTTCTTATTGACAAAGACAAGCATTCCTATGGGATCATAGGTTTAAAGGTGGGAGGGACATTAGAGGTCATTAAGTCCAGCCCTGGCTAGCTGTGTGACCCTGGGCAAGTCACTTAACCCCAATTGCCTGAAAAAAAAAAGTCCAGCCCTAGAATTTTCCAGATTAAGGAAATAAATCCCAGAAAGGTTAAGTTACATATCCAGGGTCACACACTAAGTATCTGAGGCAGGTGTTCCTGACTCTAAATCTAACCAGTGCTCTATCTACTATATCACCCTGCCTTCCTCTGCCTTTGTTAGCATCTAGCACTCAGGAGTTCCTCTGATGGTGGCTAAATGGCATGCCAGACTTGGAGTTAGGAAGAACTGAGTTCAAATCCTGCCCTCAACACTTCCTAGCTGTCTAATCCTAGGCAAGTCACTGAAACTCTGTCCATCTCACTTTCTTCATCTGTAAAATGAGGATAATAATAGCACCTACTGCCTACCGCCAAAGGTTGTGATAAGCAGATGAAATAATACTCATAAAGCCATAAAACAGTTTGCTAACCCTAAATTTTCACTGATAGACAGTTCTCCTGGGAGTGAAAAGTGCAAGAAGTGCATCAAAGGTGAAATGAGTTGTATTAGGAGATAAGAGGTTCCCTATCCCTGGAGGTCTTTAAGAGGAGGTTGGAAGTAGTTATTTGCCCACTGTAGATATAGAATTATTTTAGGAATGGGCTGAATTAGATTATCTCTGAGATCCCTTTCTATTCTGAGACCCTGGAATTCTGGGACGACGTTGAACCAACTACCCACACACTCCACTGACCTCAAAATTCTTCATGAGGCCAGTCCAGCCGCACCCAGAAATCACGCAATGCACGCTCAGCTCAGAGATCTCCTTATTAATGGCAGCGTCAATGAAAGCCTGGAGAACAGAGAACAGTAGCATCAAATCACCAGAATCATAACCCCTTGCATGAGCACTTTTATATTATTTAAAACATGTCGGCATCCATTATCACGTTGCATACTTATCAGAACCCTGACCAGGAGACAGGGCAAGGGGGAGGACACACATTCAGTCCTCAGCAGGGCAGGCTAGGGTGGGGCAGGACACTGAATCTGAAGTCAGAAAGGCTTGGGCTCTAGGGTGGGCACTGGCCATGTGACATTGGGCAAGAACTTCAGTTTCCTTCTTTGTGAAATGTGCTATCTACCTCAATTCAACAATTTAAAGTTTAATTCAGCAAATATTTGTAAGTTCTTGCTCTATACAGGACACTGCACTAGGTGCTGGGGATCTAAAGATACCAAAGAAATAATTCCTGCCCTTAAGGAGCTTGCATTCTACTGGGGAGATACTTCATATACTCAGGTAAATACTGAATATTTTACCTACCTTTCGGAGTTGTAGATTACAATAGTAACTCACATTTCTAAAGCCTTTTAAAGTTTACTAAGTCTTTTCCTCACACCTCGGTGAAGTAAATAGTATAGATATTACCACATGCAACTCCACCCCCCCCATTTTTACAGATGAGAAAATGGAGACACAGAAAAGTTACTTGCCTTGGGTTACTCAGTAAGTACCAGAGCTGAGATTTGCCTGATTCCAAGGCCAATGATCTTTCTATTACACTACAATGCCACTCTGAACTTTAGACAGATGTGTATAAAATGTGTTATAAACTCCAGAACCAGTTATTATTAGTACGTCAGTAATGACTGTTGCTGCTGCTGGTGGTGGTATTGTTTGTTGTCTTAGACAGAGTTAGGAAAGGAAGCAGCATGGTTTGATGGACTGAGTTTCAGGACACCTGAGTTTGGTTCCCAGATGGAACACTTATTAGCCTTGTGAACTTCTTTCTGGGCTTCAGTTTTCCTCCTCTGTAAAATAAGGCAACTAGACCAGATGATCTCTAAGGACTCTTCTACCTCTGACCTTCCATGATAATATTTGGGGTGCAGAAGCTTGAGGACACTGAGCTCTTTGCCCTAGAAGAAAGGGCCTCAGGCTTCTGGATCTTCCCCAGGACAGATACCACCATTATGTCAATGGGGGTTGTGCTCAATGCCATGAACTGTCCCAGATAGTTGGAAATCACTGAAAACAAAGTCTGGGTGGACTTTCTAAGGTGAACACACACACACACACACACACACACACACACACACACACACACACCCACCCATGAGAACATACGGAAAACACTTGTCCTTCTGTCTAGGCTGTTCTGAATCATGGGCTCCCAGTGTGTTCTCAGCAGTCCTGGAGCAAGCTACAGTTTCAGGGTCTGCTGGAGGGGCTTGGCCAGGAGTGCCTTGTTTAGGCAGGACTGTTGCCTTCGTGAATACTAGTATTATAAAGTAAAGGGAGTATCAATACTGCTTTTGTACAGACTTAGCAACGGTACCTGTCCCCCAAGAGAATGGAGTGGGTGTAGGGGGCTCCTTGGCCCCATGCCTGAGAATTTGTCTCTCCAGAGTTGTTTACTTTGCTTGGGAACTGCCAAGGGCTGTAAGAACTTCTCCTTTTTGGAAGCTCCAGTGGAGTTAACTTGGTAGGATTTCAAGGGTAAAGGACCTCCAGAAGGGCTGGGCACCTTCACTGGTGCTGTTCCACCTGGACCCTTGAAAGCTCAACCTTGTTCCCCTCTGCCCAGCAAAATCCCACCGATCCTGTAGGTCCTGGCTAAATGCTCCTCTCCTCTATAAAGCAGCCTGATGAAGTGGAAGGAAAATTGAGAGAGGGAGGTTCTAGTCATGGTTCAGCAATAATCTCACTGAACAAGAGGCCAAGCCACTTCACTTAGAGGACTCAGTTTCTCCATCTGTAAAATGAAGAGGTTGGACTAAACAAGCTCCAAGATCCTTTCTGGAACTGATATTTTATATTCTAACATTCCATATTCTAAGCTTTCATCCAGCACTGACATTCTATTTAAAGCCCTTTTTAGCTCTTTTGTTCTATGTGCTTACATCATGGGTTCTAAGCTCCCTTCTAGCTCTGAGGTTCTATGTTCTAAGTTCCTTTCCAGCTGTAACATTCTATGTTCAAAGGTCCCTTTTAGCTCTAACATTTTGTTATAACCTGTGTTCTAAGCTTCCCACCCATTCTAACAACCCATGCCCCTACTATATACTATGGTCTTCCTGTGGAGTCAACCACAAGTCAGGTTTGGTGGAACAACATAATAGGCACCACTATAATGCTCTACACTATTAGAATGGACTCTGCTCCCCAAAATCTTGTCTAAGGGGGTTTTATTACTGAGGCAGAAAAAGTGCCTTGTTATACAGAGAACTATTATTATATGTAACACCTGACAGAATACTTATTCTAGGAGAGATTGAAAGCTTAAAGGGGCCTTGGAGATCTAGTCCACCCTCATTTTATGTATGAGGAAACTGAGGCCAAAATAGATAAAGTAACTTTCCTAAGGTCAAATAGTAAGTAGCAGAAGTAGCATTCAAAGCCAGACTCCAAATCTAGCACTCTTTCTGCTATAACATATTGGTTCTAAAAACCTCTGGGAAGAAGGTGCTCTGGCTAAATTTCCTTCCCTTCTGTTCTACAGGAACTCTTCCCCCCTACAGCTTCTCAAGTCTTCCTATCACTTTCCCTTTCCTTCCTCTGGGGCCACTTGTGTTACTCTTGCCTGTGAGGAGGGAAGGGAATAAGCATTTATACAGCACTTACTATGTGCCAAGTACTGTGCTAAGTGCTTTACAAATATTATCTCATTTAATCCTCAAACAATCCTGGGAGGTAAGTGCTATTATTATCTGCATTTTACAGTTGAGAGATACAGAGGTTAAGTGACTTGCCCAGGGTCACACTGCTAGGAAGTATCTGAGGCAGGATTTGAACTCAGGTCTTCTCTACTCTAGTAACAACACTTTATTCACTACACCACCTGGTTGCCTCTAGGGGGCCATGATCAGAGAATGCCCAGCCTTTGTTCTTCTAGTTCAGAGACTGATTTTTGATTGTCACATAAAACTAAGCTAGGTGGTGAAATGGATAGAGTGTCAGACCTGAAGTCAAGAAGACTCATCTTTGTGAGTTCACATCTGGCCTCAGACACTTCCTAGCTGTGTAACCCTGGGTAAGTCACTTAACCCCAGTCACTTCAGTTTCCTCATCTTTAAAATCAGCTGGGGAAGGAAATGGCAAACCATTCCATTCTCTTCACCAAGAAAACACCAAATGGGGTCACAAAGAGTTGTACACAACTGAAACAATTGAACAACAAACAAAACTGAGCCAGACAATGTAGCCAAAGTAATTTCTCATTATTCAACTGAGTTTTCAGAAGGAACACTTTGAAAGAAAATCAGAGGACAGTCCTGACCTTGTTCAGTCTAATGCCCTGAGCCCCAGTAGAGGAAACTGAATCACAGGGACCTAAAAGGCCACCTAATTTAACTACACAGTTTTGTAAATGAGGAAACAGAAACCCAAAGAGAGAAAAAGACTGATCTAAAATCACACAGCTAGGCAATAACTGAGCTGGGGATCAGGATTCTAGTGTTCTAATGGCCATCCGAGAGCTCCCTCCATCACGTCCTGGTGCCCTACCTGATGGAAGCCAAAGCTCCTCAACTTCTCGAACAAATATGCAATATCATTTGACCGTTTTATAAGATTTAGATCTGGAAGGGCCCTTAGAGATCGTCTAGTCAATGGGGTTCTTTTTTCTTTTTCTTTCTTTCTTTCTTTCTTTCTTTCTTTCTTTCTTTCTTTTTTTCTTTCTTTCTTTCTTTCTTTTTATTTATTTATTTTTTTGCAAGGTAATTAAATGATGGTTAGTAAGTATCAAATGTCTGAGGTTGGATTTGAACTCAGGTCCTCCTGACTCCAGGGCCTGTGCTCTTGTCTATTGTACCACCTAGCTGCCCCAAGTCAAGGGGTTCTTAACATTTTTGTGTATGTAATGGGACCCTTTGGCAGTCTGGGGAAGCCTATGGTTCCCTTTTCATAACAATGTTTTTAAACGCTTAAAGTAAAATGCATGGAATTACAAAGGAAACCAATTCTATTGAAATAGTTATCAAAACGTATATATACACATAAGCTCAGATCACAGGTTATGAACCTTTGATCTAGTCCAACTCTTTTATTTTCTAGATCAAAGAACCGAGGCCCAGAAAAGTGAAAGGGACTTGCTCAAAATTACAGAGGTAGCAAATGGTGAAGGCAGGATTTGAACCCAGGTTTTCTACTTCCAAATTCTATGGTCTTTCCAATGTACCACACTGTCTCTTTTGTGAGCCACACAAAGTAGGGGATGAAGAAAAGTAGTCACATGTCTCAGATACATGGAACAGTATGGGTCACCTTGAAAAAAGCAGTTCATCACCTGGCCTGGCCACATCTCTGCACAATGTCCACCCTATCAGCTACTGGAACATCATTTCAGGCAAACAAAGCTTGTACCAAGGCCTAAAATTAATCCTTTCATGTCTGTGTCCTCTGTTCAGCCAATCACCTCATGAATCCTAAGAACACTTCAGAGCAGAATTAGCTTAATGAGATAAGAGGATAAGGACAAACTGATAACCAGCTGGTGAGCTATGTCTTTTCACAAAGAGGTTAGTCTGAGCCACATGTATGTAGATTTTTCCATACTTTGATGTTGTAATGGAAAGAGCTGGGTTTATAGACAGCAGCCCTGGCTTTAAAGATTGCTCCAGCTACTTCTTAGCAGAGTAACATTGGGCAAGTCGCTCAACCTTTTTAAGCCTCAGAGGCAGTTGGAGATGACCTTCATTTTGTGTCTTGTTCTAAAGGACAAGCTGGAGATCAAGAAATATCCATTATGTAAAAACACTCTAATACAGTCTTATTGTCTTCAAATCCTTAAATGTCTCACCCAAGTTCAGGCCTGGGTCAGGAGTCGGAGAAGTCCCTGGTACTTCCCCACAGGGTCTGTGACTAAGATTGCACCATTGGTTTCCTTCATACTCACCCTATCCAAAATGATGGACTTGAGTGTGATTTGGGTTCTGTTTTTTAAAACTGGCCCCTTTCTCCTTACCCTCACACTCAAAAGCTCTCTCTGACCAATCTGACCACAGTGCCTGGGTTTCCCCCACTAGTGTCACCTTTGAGGGATAATGCACTGGAGGCCCTTGTCAAAATGCAACTGTGTTACCTGAGAAGAACAGTCCATTACCAGTCACTCAGTCCTCAGATGGGAGTAATTTAACACATGAACAACTTGAGTCATCTAGCAGGGCTTTGAAAGAACAGGACATAAGATGGCGGTCCAGAGCATTGGGAGGGAGCAGAGCATTGAGGCTAGCCTGAGCTTAGCTTGAGATGGCAGACTCAGGTTCTACTCCTGATTCTGTCAGAGTCCGCTATCCTACTTAACTCCAAACTCCACTCTAATCTGGCCTTCCTCTGGGATAGCCTACACTTATGTACAAGAAGCTATATTCAAGACCGGCTAAAGTAGGGGAATGAACTCCAATGTATGTGGAGGGGAAGGTAGTGAGGAGAGAGAAAGTCATGTCACTTCTCTGGATCTCAGTTTTCCCATCTGTAAAATGAGGGAATTGGAATAGATTATCTCAAAAGACTGCCTGCTCTTAAAACAAACAAACATATCGAAAAGTTCATTTGAGGAACAATTGTAAATCTCTCATCTCCCCTTCAGTGCTCACTTCTCTCTTTGTGCTTTTTCTCCCTCCCTTTCAGGAAACCAGTACTGTGTGCCATTCCCAAAGGTTCTTTGTTCTCAGCTAAACATTCATTTTTTATAATGTTCCCCTCCAGAGGGCTTTGTATTTTAATAAGGGACAAAAATCCTTTGATTACCGAAGGACTAAATAGTGATAATTTAGGCACTGTGACTGTTGATGAGATAAGGAAGGCCTGTCTCATACTCTTCACCATACAAGATAAAGGCAGCATAGGGATCTTTTTCACACAAGCATACCTTCTCTTCCGATAAGAAACTTTCATTTCCCACAGCCTGCAGATTCTCTTCCTTGCATCTTGAACATATAGGGCTTTTGCTGATCCTGGCAAAATACATTCAGCAAGTTTGGTTTATACATCGACAGCTTGTCCCTCTCATTACCCGTCCTGATCCCAAACTGGAAAACCTAGGAATCACCCTCTGGAACAGATAAAAATGGGTCACCTCTCTAGGCCCTGTCCACAGCAAGATTTAGAAGCACCAAAGCTATGAAGCGAGAACAAACTGTGGGCCAAAAAGCCCACATGGGCTTGTTATAGGAGTTGTTAGAATCAAATGTGATAGTAATTGTAAAGTGCAGTGCCTGGCACCTCATCAACATTATATAAATATTAGTTATTATTATTATTCAACTTGAAGGTTTAAATTCCTAACACAGAGCACAGAGTCCAGACTGGCTTTTGATCACTCCACAGAATTATAGACATATAGAATGTTAGAGCTCAGAGGGCCATTACAACACACAATGTTAGAGCACAAAGAAACCTTAGAAAATTGACCATTAGAGCTGGAGAGGACCTTAGAGTACTGAATGTTAACTTGTAGAATATGAGAACTATATTATAAGATGGAAATAGGACTTAGTCACAGCCACACAGCATGTGGCAAAACCAGGGCTAGAACACAGATCTCCTGACTTTAGCTCTGAGGAAGAGAGCTAATGTCAGACATTTATATCTGGGTATGAATAAAAGTCAGTGAGTTCCTTTTCTCAGAGACATTTGTATTTCCTAGATTATGGAGCTGGAAAAGATTTCAGAATATAAAATGTCAGAACACAGAATGTCAAAGCTGGAAGCAGCTGAAAGACAAAGAATGTTGGAACATGGAACATGGAATGTTACACTACAGTATTGGTTTCAAGCACTGGTGTGTAGGATGGGGGAAGGAGACCATTGTGTTTCTTCAAAGGAATGTCTCTGTCAAAACCTTAAGCTAGTCCATTTTCTCCCCTTCCTCTGATACCTAGAGTCCCGGAGAGACAGACAGATGGACAGACAGACAGACAGACAGAAGACAGATGGACAGACCAGCCAGTTCCTCCTCCATTCCTTCCCCTCCCCCCTCACCTCACTATCCAGGAGAGACAGGCAGCACAGTAGCGGTGGCCACATAGGGTCTGCTGGGCCTTCTTCAGAACATTGTGACAACCACAGCACAAGTATTTGGGCTCAGGGGTCTTCTGGCAGATACTGGTAGGGTATCCAAAGGGGAATTCGTTTTCATCAGGAGTGAGACAGGGGCCCACAGGGGCACTATCAGTAGGGTTCTCTGCCATCTGGGGAGCTCTTGGCAAGTGGAGACAGGTCCTCTGATACCCACCGATCCCAGGGAGCAGGCAAGCAGGTGCTTAGAGGAGAGGTGATTCCTGTCACCTCCTCTCTTGTGAGGTGAGATGCTGATGTCTTTATTCAGCCACTTGATGAGTCCTAGCCTATGGTGAAATGTCATGGGGGGAAGGGGGAGGGAGTCTAATGAGGATGACTAAGAAATTACCCTGCTGGGTGGAAAAGTCCCCTGGACATTGAATTGCAATGGTTAAAAAAAAAAAGAAAAAAAAGTCCAGTCCTTCTTTTGATTAAAAAAAAAAAAAGACAAAGAAATTTGTCATAGACTTTAGGAACCTAGTCATACCATCCTCATGAGTACCTCGACCAGAGCCCCTCCTTGCTTCAGCAGAATCATTTCCCCTGAGCAGGAGCTGGGTTAAGAAAGTCCCAGATGGCATCAGGCCAGAACTCCCGGTAACCACCCAGTAGGTAGCCCAAGATAACTTTCCAGCCAAACGCTGACCTCACCAGGGGGGCCGTGGCAGTAGTAATATTTTACAACAGTGGTTCTGTGACTGACTGTGTTCTAAAGTCCCTTCTAGACCTGGTGCTTAACATTCAAATTCTAACATTCTGTTTTCTCAAGTCCTTTCTAGGGCTGACAGTCATTCTCTGCTTAAGGTCTCTTTCAGTTCTAATATTCTCTGTCATAAGATCCTTTCCAGCTCTGATGTTCTGTGTTCTAATGACTGTCCCTTCCCACACTGACATTTTATGTCTTACGATCTCTCGTAATTCTAATATTCTCTGTTTGAATTCAAGTCAGCAAGCATTTGTGAAGCACAAACACTGGTTAGATAGGGGGGCATACAAAGCTAAGAGTAACCAGTTCCTATTTTCAAGGAGCTTACCTTCTACAGGGATTGAAGGGGGTGTGGATAGAAAATGTACGCAGATAAATGGAATACAAGATTTAAAAGTGCATTAGGAAAGTTTGAGGAGGAAGCTGGCATTAACAACTAAGGCAGGGAGATCAAGGGGAGTTTCTTAGCAGAGATGGCACCTGTACTCAGCCTTGAAAGGAGATTCAGAAAAGAAGACTCTGAAAGACAAAGATGAAGTGGGAGCACATTCCAGGCGTGGAGAAGGGCTTGGGTATCACACAGGAGATAGAATGTCAAGTTCAGGGTCCAGTTAACTGTCCAGTTTGACTGAAACACTTTCTCCCTTGGTTGTTCACTTTGTTTTTCTGGATTAAAATCTTTATTTTTTTTTCCTCCAAAAAAGTGCAAAAATCTTAGAGGTGAGTACATTGTTTTCTAATGCTTTTTATGGAGTGGAGGAGGGGAAATATCTACACAAAGATGAAGGCAGTGCTTCCTTCCCATTCCCAGTGAAAGAGGCATGGCTTTGAGGTGGCACAGGTCAGTCTGGGTCCACAGCAACTCTTCTGAGTTGGAGTTACCCAATTCCATTGATTTAACCCCTCTAGAGAAAGGTTGAGTTGCAGAGCTAAGGAATGTTGGTCGAGTGATCAACTGATATCTTCAGTCTGGCCTGGTATCTTCCCCAGGGGGAATGTGCTCTATTCATGCTCTCTGGGCTGAAGAGCTCTATGGAGCCCTGAATAGTTGCTTACCTCTCAGTCAGGCCCTCCTCAAGTCCCTTCTCTATTGTCCCATGTTCTAACATTCTATATACTAAAGTGCCTTACTATACTAAACACTCTATTTCAAGATTCAAGTGGTAGATTAGGTTGGGAAATCCTCTCTCAATCAGCTGACAGGATGATGTGCCAATTTAATTTTATTGGTTCTCCAGTTCTGATAATCAGGTCTCACTATTTTGCACACAAGTAGCCTGCCTGTGGGCAGCTAGGTGGCATAGTGGATAGAGTGCTGGGCCTAGAGTCAGGAAAACCTGAATTCAAATCCAGCCTCAGACACTGGCTAGCTGTGTGATCCTGGGCAAGTCATTTAAGCCTATTTGCCTCAGTTTCTCAATCTGTAAAATGAGCTGGAAAAGGAAATGGCAAACCACTCCAGTATCTTTGCCAAGAAAATCCCAAATGGGGTCACAAGAAGTCAGACACAACTGAAAAACAACTAAACAATAACAAAGCCTGCCTATATTGCCTCCTCTTAAAGTACTACCACTACTATTCTAAGTAACCCTGCTGCTTCCCAGGCTTCCTTCAACTCCTTGAGACCAGGAGTTAAGATTTTTATCTCTGTATCCATCTAGCACAGACTTACACAAAGTATACACTTTTTGATTTGCTAAATGAAGTGTCTGAAACAAAGCAATATAGCAAACATGAAAAATGACCATGTAACAAATATGATAAATTACTCATTAATGAGAATGCTGATCTCACTAGTGGGGTTGTGGCATTAGCGTAGCCATGAACATATACTCAAATATAAGGTGTCCCCAAAGTCTTAGTGAAGTTTGAAGTTTAAATGGCTCCCATGGCTATCAAAGCTTCAAACTGCATTAGGACTTTGGGGACATCTTGTATTTAAATAATATATGCGATTAAATGTATTAAATCATAATAAGAAAAACTCTAACAATGTAATAACTGTGCTGAAGGACAGGAGACACTCCTGTGGCACTGGGGAGAGAGCACTGCGGGGGTAGTGAGTTCTAGTCTCAGTTCTGACTCTAGTTTCCCCTGTGATTTTGGCCAAATTTCTTCCTCCCCCGGATCCTTGGTTTCTCTTTCAGTCAACTGACAGTCTTCCTCCCATTTCGAAAAAGTTAAAGATTTATGCAGCTGAAAAATAAGATTCCGAGGGAGCTGGGGGTGGGGGCAGGGGAGCTGTGTAATTATGCGTACTTGCGATCAAGTGAAGAGAGTGTTCTCCCAGGCGATGAGAAAAACCAACTAGTTTTATTTCAGCCTAAAATTTTTGCCGGTTTGGTAATTCCTAACCACCTGTCAGGAGCTGCCCTAATCCACATCGAGAGTGGGGTAGCTCAGCAAACCAGTCTCAGGGAGGACACAGGATCAAAGATTAAGGTCACTCAGACCTGATCTGGAAGTTGACTTGGGGGGGGGGGGTGTCGACAGTGGGCGGAAAGAGACCAGATGTTCAGCGACTAGGGAAGTCAAGCGAGCCAGGCAGAAGTCCAGATGTGTAGGAGGACGCCTTCAACCGGGGAACACGCGTCCAGGTGTGGCCTCTGGGCGCTACCATTAGGGTCCAGATGTAAGAAGGAAGTTGGGGGAAGTTGAGGGGAGTCGTGCTCAGTCGGAAGGGTTGAAGGGAAGGCCAGCTGTTGTGAAATGGCCTTGAGAGCAGATCAGGGAGACTAAGGAGGAGTCCGGAGGGAGCTGTTACCCAACCCTTTGCCCCTACAGGGATCGGGCTTACCTGGAGTATTTGCATCTCAGCTATCTGCCTTTCACAGCTCCTGGAGGATTCCCCCGTGGACCTCCCCCTCCTCCCACACCCCAACCCTCTTCCGGGAGGGTGCGGCCTGAAAATGGGGAGGCTGAGCCTGGTGCGACCCTAGGGAGGGGCTGGAGAATGTGGAGGAGGGAGTGTGGGCCCTATTAGTCGATAGCAACTAACTGTCACCCCCAGGGAAATACCGCTTTCCACGAACTCCTACTTTGTGGTTGTCTGTGTGCCTCCACTGAGTGGAGCTTCCCTGGCTTCTGTCAAGTCTCAACTGAAGTTCCACCGTCTGCGAGGAGCCTTACTTCTAAAGGCATCTCCACTTTATCCTATGTCTGTCTGTCTTTTTGCTATGTAGTTGTTTGCCTGTTGTGTTCTCCGTTAGACTGTGATCTCCTTAAGAGCAGGTTCTGCTTTTCACCTTGCTGTGTGTCCCCAGCGTGTAACATAGTGCCTGGAATGGAGTAGGGTCTTAAATGCTAGTTGCCTAACCAATTGGCTGAGTACTGTGGTGAAGATCTCACTAGACTAGGAGCCAGGAGAGAACTGGATTCTGGTCAGGATCCTGGCATTTATTAACCCTGTGATCTTGGGAAAAATTATTTCTCTTCTCAGGGCCTCAGTTTCCTCATTTGTAAAATGCTGAAATTGTACTAGCAAATGTCTGAGGTTTTTCTAGACATGATGAACATTTTAAAGTTTATTCCAGTTATCTTTATGACTGATTGTCAAGAGAGTGAATCAAGAAAATTGGCCATTTACTAGCTGGGATGTGTCAAGGGTGGGGAATCTACTGCCTCCAGGCCACCTGTGGCATTCTAGGTCCTTGGGTGGGGCCTTTTGACTGAGTCCAAGTTTTACAGAGCAAATCCTTTTATTAAGGGGATTTGTTCTGAGGGTTTGGAGTTGGTTAAAGGGCTGCACTTGAGGACCTAGAGGGCCACATGTGGCCTTGGGACCAAAGGTTCCCCACCCTTGTTTAGATCACCTGACTCCAGTGTCCTCTTTGTCCCCCTCCCCCCATGCTGTTTTTCAATATTTCCAAGGAGCCATGATTTCATTGGTATGGATCTTCCTTTTGGCTAGGCAGACAGGAACCCCTTTTCCATCCCTTCCCCCAAACTTTAGTAGAAGGTCATCATGACAGGCTATGGCTAAATAAATTCACCTAGAGTTCAGTTCTTTGGGGCTGAGTTTTCACACTTAGCTGAGCTGACCTTAAAGGACAGACATCCAGTCTGTCATCAAGCCTGGTTATGAAGCCTTTTCTTGGTAGATCCTGGCCCACCTTGAGCTCTCCTGGCATAACCTTTGAGATAATATAAGTAAAGTGCTTTACAAACCTTAAAAATGATCATGTTAGCTAGCGTTTTTATAGCACTCTTAAGGTTTACAAAACATTTTACATGTGTTATCTCATTTAATTTTCACAACCACCCTATGCAAGAGGTTCTATTATTATCTCTGAATTGCAAGTGAGAAAACTGAGGCCAAGAGGCTGTGACTTACTCAGGGTTACAGAGACAGTAAATATTTGAAGCAGAATTTTAATTTAGGTCTTTTTAGTGGACAGAGAACTTGATGTTCTCTAAGATCCCTTCCAACTGTAAGCCTATGATCCTTTGAACTCAGGGGTCCAACACATATCCCACAGTCTCTGGAGGAGGACTATTTTGGAGACTTTAAAAAATAAACATAATTAATTTAAATGATCTTTTTCTGAGATGGGGAATTTTGGAGAATTTTACATAGCTCTTTGGATTCATCCGATCAGAGAATCATTGGGTTAAGGAATACAATTGAACTTTTCTCAGAGACTTATCATTTAATTGGGAATGTTGTCTACTTGGT